GTCCACCACGAAAGTGATCCCATATTGCCTGTATGACATGTTGTCTTGTGGTCGCGATCGTCACTGCCGCCCGCGGCCTCAGTGTCAACGTCGGCGTGCGGGGCGCGCTGAGACAAAGTGTCAAGTTGTTTCGACGCGTTGTCTGGTCCACGGTGCGTCGCTGAGGATGACAGCTTGGCTCTGCGGATATGTTGTGGCTCGAGCTCCTTTGTCATTCATCCACTGCGCAGAAGCCTTGGACGCAATGCCATGCACCTGGCCCTTAACCCAAATGTCCGACAAGCCTCTGCCATGCCAGTCCAGCTCTTCCTGTTGAACACCCTCGGGGCTCTCGGCACGATGCAATAAAGAATGCCCCGCGCAACGCGGTGAATAATTGCCGCCGCGTGAGACGGTTCGCCCCAGCCAATGCACACTTCAATGGCATCCCGATTGCGCCAATCGCCTTGGAGAGCTGCGAATATGGTCGCTGCTTCTACACAGGAGTTCCGCGATGAACCCAAGTATTCTGCGACCGCCGCCTTGCGATGTGCCATTGCATGTGGCGGGCGCACGCCCCGCCGAATCACAACATATCCCAAAAGAACCTGCACCATGGCTTTCCTGAATTGCAGCGCGGCACCGGGCGCGTGCAACTCCAGCGAAAAGCGAATCGAACATGTAATGAACAGCTCGATGATGGAGTATGAACGCTTGTGGCATGTAGGTCCCCTGTGGAGGTGACGAAGTATGTGCAAATTCCGTTCACCATCGGCCCTCTGTGAATACTCAACACGGAAATTCGATGCGGCTGCGTCGGTCACGGCATCTCGGGCTCTAACCTTGAAGCGGTCCAAGGCCCGACATGCGGCGCGACCAGCGACCTCGCCCAGGGCAGCCCTAAAAACGTCAGCAGATGTATCTTCAATGTTTGAAAGTGCGTTCACAGTTTTTCAATATGATGAGCCTGTAACAACCGCCGACCCGAACAAAAAACATTGAAGTCCGTGGTGGCTTGGGACAACTTAGTGGTAAGCGAGTCCTTGACTGTTCCGCACTGCCTCCCGCGATGCTCGTTGAGGTCGCCTCCCAAAGCTGACGGATCACCGCGTTCATCGGCAGCTTGAATGTAGTCAGCAACGGTCCCGAACACGATGTCTGTACCTTGGTTCGCAGTGGCCTGCATGGGTGTCTCGCCATATGCAACACTCTCTGTGAAAAGGATCGGTTCGACATCCTCGGGCGCGGACGTTACCTGCAAGACCATTTGCGCTCAGAGCCAAGAGTCGCTGATGATGGCAAGATCTGCCAACCGTTGAGCGAACGTGGCTGCAACTGCGGTGTTGCGCTGCTTCGTGGCCTGCATCAAGACCCGCCTGCTGACCAACTCGCGCTGGGCCGGGATAGTCTCAGATCTGTCATTATATTTCTGGAACACCTGGTCGCCTGCCAAAGCTGATAAGGAATTTTGCCGAAGAAACCGTGGTGCCGAACGGCGTCATCGGCGACTGCAAAAAATCTGATGTTCCCCGTGGCCCGTCGGAACAGCCAACGCCACGCATGCGCCGTCCTCCGCGGGATCATCCTCGGCGACGTGTCCTGCTGAGCCGACGGCAGGCGAAGCTGGCCCAGAAATGCAACTCGGGAAACTCCTGCGGTAATGATCTCCCCATCCGCCCTCCGAGCCGTTCATGATGCCAACTTTCTGTAAAGCAACTGGCACAAGCAACACGAGCGCGCAAACGGCGCGGAACATGAAGCCGCATGTAGTGATAACAACATGCATGTGTGGATGATTGAAGCTCCCAGAAGCCGAGTCAGACAGGCGACGGGAGTGCACGCTGAGAACACAGAACCTTGCGAAACTACGGGCCTCGAAGGAGCTCTGAAAGACATGGGCGGGCCGACCGCGGCAATATAACCATGGGCACCGCCTCTCAAAAATGCCCCCTGGTGAGTTACCGCGAAAATGGGGACAGTCACGCTGGCGCGTGTTTTCCAGATTACTGTTTGGTTCTGCGCCCTCCAACGCTCCACTGAACCTCCCAGGACTTCGCGCGCTGGGCGATAGTTGCGCACTTGGCAGCCACCCGAGAAAGACGAACAGCGCGCAACTGTCATGTACGTTGCCTGACGCAATTGAGATTTTGATTGGGTCGGCCCCCCGATCAAGAACAAGCCTGAAAATCAAATGCCCCCTGTTATTACCACATTGTTCGGAGGTCCCAATCCCCCACCACCTCGAAACATCTCCTCCTCTGCTTCTTCTTCCTCTTCTTCCTCCTCCTCCTCCCCCTTTTCCTCCTCCTCCTCCTCATCATCATCCTCCACCTCTCCCTCCTCCTCCTCTTCGTCCTCCTCCTCCTCCTGACTCCCTCCTCCCTCCTGCCTCCTCCCCCTCCACCTCCTCCTGTTTCTTTCCCGTTTCCCGTTCCTCCTTCTCCTCGTCCTCCTCCTTGTCCTCCTCCTCCTCCTTCCTCGTTTGCTTTCTCTGTTAGGCGTCTTGGAAACAAGCCGTCGATGCGCAGAGAACGTTCCCAACGCACTTCCAATGAATCAGCACCGAGGAAGACCTCCGCTACTATGCATTGCGCGAACACGAAAACGAAGCACGATAACAAGCACGATTTGAAGCACGATTTCTAAGACCTGAATAAAAAACATGCCAAAACCGATTTGTTGACTAAATCCTGCGGAGCCCAAAAAACCGAACCCAGATGCTTGCGCGGTGTTTCTCAACCCAAACTCAATCCACACCGCCCCACAGAAAACCTTCCACCCCCCACCCCTCGCCCCTCGGGTCCGATAGTAGGAGAGAGCGTGATTCACCGCCGCTTCACTGTTTTACAATGGAAAATTCCCCCCCCCCCCCCTCTTCCTCCAGAACGTGGGGTACCCCCCTCCCCTCCGAAAATCCCCCCCCCCCCCCCCCCCCTGCTAGACCCCCCCAACACCCCTTCTCCCCGCCCCCCCCCCCCTCCCCTACTAACCCACCCACCCCCCTGCCCCGGAAAATCAGAGAGGGGTCACTACTGGTTCGAACCCTTCCCCCCCCCTCCCTCCAGAAAACAGGGGGGGGTCACTACCGGTTCGAACCCCTCCACCCCCCCTCCAGGGGGGGTCGCTACCGGTTCGATACCCCCCCCCCCCACGCTCACCGCCAGCAAACGACTCCCGGCCCCACCGTCCGCACCACATCCCCCACTGCTGTCCCCAGCACCACTGTCCTCACCACCACTGTCCCCACTGTTCCCACCACCGTCCCCACTGTCCCCACCAGTGCCCCCACCACTGTCGCACTGTCCCCACTGTCCCCGCCACTGTTCCCACCACGGTCCCACTCTCCCCACTTTTCCCGCGGCCCCAACCACTGTCCCACTGTCCCACTGTCCCACTGTCCCCGCCGCTGTCCCACTGTTCCCACCACTGTCTAACCTGTCCCCACCACTGTCCCCACTGTACCTCTGTCCCATTATCCCACCGCCGTCCTCGCCACCGCCCTCACCACTGTCCCCACCACTACTGTACCCTCCACTGTCCCACTGCTTCCACCACATTCCCACTGTCCCCACACCACTGTCCCCACCACCACCGTCCCCACCAATATCCCACTGTCCCCACTGTTCCCACCATTGTCCCCGCTGTCCCCACCAGTGCCCCCATCAGTGTCTCACTGTCCCCACTCTCCCGACTATTGTCCCACCACGGTCCCACTCTCCCCGCTTTCCCCACGGTCCCCACCACTGTCCCACTGTCCCCACTGTACCCACCACTGTCCCACTGTCCCCGCCGCTGTCCCACTGTGCTGTCCCACCGTCCCCACTGTCCCCACCACTGTCCCACTGTCCCCACCACTTTCCCCACTGTACTACTTTCCCACCACTGTCCTCACCACCGCCTTCATATGTCCCCACCACTACCGTCCCCACCACTGTCCCACTGTTCCCACCACTGTCCCGCTATCCCCTCACCACTGTCCCCACCACCACCGTCCCCACCACTGTCCGCACCACTGTCCCACTGTCCCCGCACCACTGTCCCCACCACCACCGTTCGCACCACTGTCCCAGCATCCCCACCATTGTCCAACTGTCCCGAGGAGCGGGAGTCGTTTGCCGGCGGCGAGGGGGGGGGTTCGAACAGGTAGTGACAGCCCCGGTTTTCGAGAGGGGGGGAATCGAACCAGTAGTGACCCCCCCCGCTTTTCATGATGGACTGGGGGGGGAGGGGTTCGAATTGGTAGTACCCCCCCCCCCGGGTTTTCGAGGGGGGGGGACGGGTTGGGAATCCCCAGTGACCCCCCCCCGGTTTTCCGCCAGCAGCGGTAGAACACGGCCCAGGGGGGAGCAATGCATGTATCCAGTGGAGCCGACGGCCCATGTCTTCGGCGAGGCTCTCCGGCGAATGTGTGTATAGAGGCCTCCGAAACAGGAATCAGAGTAGATGAGGTCGGAGGATAGCGCCGCATCGTTGATGCATCGGCACCGTTGGTGTCGAGAAAATCTGGCTCCACATCGAGCCGCATTGCCGATGAGTCGGCGATGCGGTGCGATCCTCCGACCCCATCTATTCGGAGCCTATCTGGGAGTCGTGGAGTTGAATGCCCGCTCATGTGCTATTCGCCCCTATCGTTGACTCCGATCCCGCCCCCTGCGTGGGAGGCTGGGACTTCAGAAAAACGGTCATGAGGGGGGGGGATGATGCCAAATCCGTCCAAAATCTGTCCCCCGACCCTTCCTAGGGTCTATATGGTGCAGTGTATCACCCCAAATCTGGTGCCCCGGAAGCCAGAGAAGGCAAAAAACCCTTCCGACCCCAGAACCTCGAACCTGCCGCCCCCCCTTCCTGCTGGCTTGAACCTGTGCTGGGCCACCTCTAGGGAGCCCACGAAGGACGTACGGGCCCACCCACGTACATCAGCACGGTCCCCCAATCCACGAGACCGGCCGCGTGATACGAACGTTCACACAATGCATACTCTCGAAACCAACGTGGATCCATGTAAGTGTACGTCCTTCTTTCGCTCGTGAACCCGGCTCCACCCCTGGCGAAATCTACACCGCCACCGCTCGCGGGGCACTCCCCCCGCGTGTTCGATGTGCTGCCCGCGAGCGCGAGCGCCTGCCTCAGGCGCGGCGGCCGCCCAGCGCGGAGCGCCCGGGCGCCGCCCCGTCGGGGGGGGCGCCCGATCGCCGCCGCGCGGGCTGGACGGTTGACCGCGCCTTCACTGCGCAAGCGCCGCGCTGTCGGGCGTCCGCCGTCGGCTGCGCAGAAGGGCGCCCGCACAGCGCCGACATGCCTGGCCAGGAAGGCTTGTGGCCGTTCCTGGGGCGGTTGTGGGCGTTCCTGGGGCGGTGCTTGAGAGGGGGGGGCAGTCAACGGGGGGCTCGGGCCACAAGTTTGTCCCGAGGCTTGGTGGAGCATGCCCCAACTCACGTTTTGCGAACGCAGCGACACAGAGCCTCTGTGAAAAAAGTTGGGCAGTAGTGTCTTGACTCCCCGGTGCTTCTTTGTTGTTGTTTGGGGGGTGAAGGAAGGAGCACCTTTCGTGCACCTTTGGGGCCCCAGAGGGGCCCTTGTGGACCCTTCAGCCCTCGATGCCCCCCTTCCCCATTCGCCCACCCATCCTGAGTCTCCCGAATTCCTGACCGTTTCTGGGACTCTGGAAGAGCCCTCGTTGCCACCGCTGGGTCCGCCACGAAACTCTGGCCGGAGCGCAACCCCAAAACAGGTCTAGGAGCCGCTGCTTGACCCCCAGACCGGGATGGCCATCTTGGGCCCTGGCACTGTGTATGCGCCCTCCTGGCAGAAGCCAGGGAGGGCCTGCACACTGTCCTCCAGGACGGGCCCAGCCGGGCATGGTGGTGGCTCTGCGGGGGCCTTCTACGCATCAGCAGCCTCGGCGCGCTCCCAGGCAGGAGCGCGCCCACTACTTGGATCAGCCGCCGCCGCCGCCGAAGGGCGGCCGCATGCCGCCCATGCCCCCGCGCATGCCCCCGCGCATGCCCCTGTAGAAGCCGCCAGACGGCAGGCTGCCGTCTCCGATCAGCGGCATGCGCACTGTGCGCCCGGACAGGCAGCCCAGCGCGCCCAGGAAGACGCACCACGCGTAGAACGCGAAGACGGAGGTGTTCAGCAGGTTGAAGAGAGGCCTGGGCGCAGCTGCGGAGCGGTTCCCCCCTCCCCCTCCCTCTCCTCCTCCTCCTCCTCCTCCTCCTCCTCTTCCTCCTCCTCCTCCTCGTCCTCCTCGTCCTCCTCGTCCTCCTCGTCCTCCTCGTCCTCCTCGTCCTCCTCACGAGGAGCTGCTCTTCTTGCCTATCCTTCTCCTCCTCGGCCTCCTCGCACCGGGGACTCGCCCGCGATTCAGCTGCAGCCTGCCTGCAACCTGCTTGGTTCATCTGAAAAGCGCCCTTACCGGTTTCCTAGTTTGAGCTTTTGACAAGCTGAACATGCAACAAACATCGGGACGATATGTTTGTTGGGCGTTTTTTGGGGAATGCTCCTCCTTGTTTTCTGCCAACTTGGCTCCCGCGCTCCCCGCCCTGCCACTGTTCGCCCCCCCTTGAAATCGTTTAAAACACGATCTGACACCGGTCTAACACCGGCACGAAACAGGCCCAGAGGCACATTTGGCCATTTGGGCGTGCAGGCGCGCCCTCCGGCCCTCCGGCGACGGCCACAGAGAATCAAACTTGTAGAAAGAAGACGATAGGGATACGCAAGGAGAAGGAAACACGCAATCCACGGATCTGAAAACGCTAAAGTATGGTCTGAAAACGCTAAAACAACACATTATGTGTTTAAGCGATTATTTTATCTTATTGAAGCCTGAAAAATGCTTAACACAATGATTTCCAACACGCGTAGCTGAAAACGCATACAAACCCTGAGCATGTGTAAGATGAATAAGGCAACCTGGTTCAGTTGTGCAGACGCTGCCAGCTTTGACTCACCCATTCGCCCATGAGTACGACCTGCGTGGGGCCCACCTGCGACCTGTTGGCGAGAGCCCCTGCCACAGATGCTCTCTGAAAAGATCGACGCCCGCGGCGGGCTGACGCCCCCACGTGATTGTCTGACATGCCCGCGACTCGCGCCGGCGGTGCGCAACCAAAAGAAAGGGGGCAGAGGGGAGCCACCGCGGCCGAGGCCCGCGGGGGCTGGCCGCAGGCGGTCGGCGGCGCGGCGCGAGAGGCCGAGGGCGCCTGCGGGCGGCGTGGCGCTGGCAGCCTCCTCCTCCTCCTCCTCCTCCTCCTCCTCCTCCCTCGCTCCTGCGCCCCGCCTCTCCTCGCCGCCTCTCCTCCCCGTCCTCCTCGCCCTCGCCCTCCCCGTCCTCCTCGCCCTCCTCGCCCTCCCCGTCTTCCTCCCCCCCCTCTCCTCCTCCTCCTCCTTCTCCTCCTCGCCCTCCTCGCCCTCCCCGTCCTCCCCCTCCTCGCCTTCCTCGTCTTGCTCGTCCTGCTCCCCTCGTCCCCCCCACCTCGTCCAGAGAACCGCCTCCCCCCCCCCTGCGAGGCCGGCGCCAAGCGGGACCTTTCCTGCCGCTCGGCGCTCCGGAGCCCCCTGGTCCCAAACACTTGGCGTCTCTTGTGAGGGGTGATTTCGCTTCCGCTCCCTGCGACTGGCGTAGACGTCCTCGCTCTGCTCCCGCTGGCCTTGCGCAGCGACAACCGGAATGACCCATATGGGTGAGGCCATGGCCTCTAGGATCTGAGGTGTCTGGATTCATGCCATGCGGACGCAATGTGCAGGCAGACGCATGTTTCGCTCAATTTTCCGCGCCACCGCAACTTCGGTCGCCTCTGGGTAACCTGTCCGTGACCGCGGAGCCTGGGCAGGCAGACAAACAGCGCGGCCATCGCAGAGCTCCTCCTCCCCCTCCTCCCCCTCCTCCTCCTCCTCCTCCTCCTCCTCCTCCTCCTCCTCCTCCTCCTCCTCCCGCTCATCGCTGCGAAATGGGGCACGGCGACGGAAATGCCTGGGCGCTGCTGCGAAAAACTGCATGAGGAAGCCCACGGGGAACTGCATCATCATGAGCGTGGATGCCTGCACGGTGAAGGACGAGGAGGAGCAGGAGGAGTATGAAAGGGAGGGGGACCTGCAACGACGAGGCGTCCACAAGAAAAAACTGTTTTCCGCGTGATCTATTTCCCAACCCTCCTGTGTTGGGCACTCGTTTTGAATAGAGCAGTGTGGTCGCCGGGTCCTGTATTCTCCTCCGCCCCTCTCCTCCCCTCCTCCCTCTCTCCGATTTCCTGTGTTCCCATCTCCTCTTCTCTCGGGCCGTCTGCGATCTGCGCAGATGTCGCCACTTTCGTGGGTTCCTGGGAGGCCCAGCGGAGGTGTGTCCCACGCGGATCACCTCAGAACCTCGCCGCCCCCTGGGGGGCTTGCGATCTGCGCAGCTGTCGTCACTTTCGTGGGCTCCTGGGAGGCTCAGCGGAGGTGTGTCCCACGCGGATCACCTCGGGACCTCGCCGCCCCATGAGGTTCTTGCGATCTGCGCAACAGTCGCCACTTTCGTGGGCTCCTGAGGGGGCCCAACAGAGGTGGGCCCCACAAGGATCACCTCGGGACCTCGCCGCCCCCTGGGGGGCTTGCGATCTGCGCAGCTGTCGTCACTTTCGTGGGCTCCTGGGAGGCCCAGCGGAGGTGTGCGCGGATCACCTCGGGACCCCGCCGCCCCCTGGGGTGCTTGCGATCTGCCCAACAATCGCCTCTTTCGTGGGCTCCTGGGAGGCCCAGCTGAGGTGTGTCCCGCGCGGACACCTCGGGACCTCGCCGCCCCCTGGGGCGCTTGCGATCTGCGCAACTGTCGCCACTTTCGTGGGCTCCTGGGAGGCCCAGCGGACGTGTGTCCCACGCGGATTACCTGGGGACCTCGCCGCTCCCTGGGGTGCTTGCGATCTGCGCAACAGTCGCCACTTTCGTGGGCTCCTGGGGGGCCCAGCGGAGGTGGGTCCCACGCGGATCACCGCGGGTCTTCGCCGCCCCGTGGGGTGCTTGCGATCTGCGCAGCAGTCGTCACTTTCGTGGGCTCCTGGGAGGCCCAGCGGAGGTGCGTCATACGCGGACCACCTCGGGCCCTCGCCGCTCCCTGGGGTGCTTGCGACGCGCGCAACTGTCGCCACTTACGTGGGCCCCTGGGAGGCCCAACAGAGGTGGGTCCCACGCGGATCACCTCGGGACCTCGCCGCCCCTGGGTGGCTTGCGATCTGCGCAACTGTCGCCACTTTCGTGGGCTCCTGGGAGGCCCAGCGGAAGTGGGTCCCACGCGGATTACCTCGGGACCTCGCCGCCCCTTGGGGTGCTTGCGATCTGCGCAACTGTCGCCACTGTCGTGGGCTCCTGGGAGGCCCCTCGGATGTGGGTCCCACGCGGATCACCTCGGGACCTCGCCGCCCCCTGGGGGGCTTGCGATCTGCGCAACAGTCGCCACGTTTGTGGGCTCCTGGGGGGCCCAACGGAGGTGGGTCACACGCGGATCACTTCAGCACCTCGCCGCCCCCTGAGGGGGCTGGCGATCTGTGCAACTGTCGCCGCTGTCGTGGGCTCGTGGGAGGCCCAGCGGAGGTGTGTCCCACGCGGATCACCTCGGGACCTCGCCGCCCCCTGGGGTGCTTGCGATCTGCGCAACTGTCGCCGCTTTCGTGGGCTCCTGGGATGCCCAGCGGAGGTGCGTCATACGCGGACCACCTCGGGCCCTCGCCGCTCCCTGGGGTGCTTGCGACGCGCGCAACTGTCGCCACTTTCGCGGGCTCCTGGGAGGCCCAGCGGAAGTGGGTCCCACGCGGACCACCTCGGGACCTCGCCGCCCCCTGGGGGGCTTGCGATCTGCGCAGCTGTCGCCACGTTCGTGGGCTCCTGGGAGGCCCAGCGGAGGTACGTCATACTCGGACCACCTCGGGACCTCGCCGCCCCCTGGGGGGCTTGCGACGTGCGCAACTATCGCCACTTTCGCGGGCTCCCCGGAGGCCCAGCGGAGGTGCGTCATGCGCGGGCCACCTCGGGACCTCGCCGCCCCTAGCGCGGCTGCACTGGGCGGCGCACCGCGCCAGACAGATTGGCGCTCACCTCCGCGGCGCGAGCCGCGAGGCGCGAAAGAAGCGTCGCGCGCCGAGCGAGACCGCGCGCGCTGGCTGCGGCTGGTCAGCACCTCGCCACCAGCAGAGCAACTCGCCCCTAAGACACCTTGACAACACCTGGACCTGTTGCTTTGCCGCTGGCATCGGGGCCCGACCTCGCGCGCAAGCGAACCTGCGCACCTGGTTCGGCTTCAGCGCAGAGCGCCTGTGGCGCGAAAAGGGCAGCGCGCCCTGATCGAAGCCGTGTACTTGGATAGACAGATGCACCTCACAGACAGCATCGCAACTCGCCCCTTAGGCACCTGGCCCCGAGGGACTGGCTGCATGGCCGTAGGCATCGGAGCCTGATCCCGAGTGTCAGCGAACCTGCACTCCTGGTTCATATTCAGCTCATAGCCAACTGCGCCGAGGCTAGCAGCGCGCACACCTAACTAGCGGCAGCACGGCTCGTCCTGTAGGTTCCTGACAAGACACTGGGCAGGTTGCATTGCCGAGGGCATCGGACCCCAACCCGTGCGTCAGCGAACCTACGCACATGGCTCTAGATGCACAGAACAAAATGCGCCGGCGCAGGCCTCTCCGCCCACGCGCCTACGCAGGCGCCGTAGAGGTTCAGGGTCGCCGATGCTGCCCCTCCCTGCTGGCTGCTGGCCACGCTTCAGCCTCCCCAGCACTCGGGGCCCGTGAGCACGGCTCCGCGGGCACCGCCATCCTGACGCTCTGCGTCCAGTAGTCGCACTTGGCGCAGAAGGTGGCTGCCCGCTTTCCACAGCTCGTGAGAATCGTGGGTGTCGACCCCCACCATGGAGGCAACCCTGGTGGAGGCGGCGGGGGCGGCTGCGACGCTGGCTGCTGCCGCTGTCGCGGTCTGGGCGTCGTCGGCGACGCGCGCTCCGTTGGTGGCAGCGACTCCGTCGGCAGCTGGGCCGCCATCGCCGACGCCCCCTTGGCCTCCTGCCACCGTTGCGTCGGCCCGTGAGCCGCTGGCCTGGCTGGGAAGCAGCGCTGTGTTCGCTGTGGGGAATGTTGCCGCTGCTGAGATCGTCCCCGAACTCCTTTTCCCAGCCGGCGGCGTAGGGGCCCAAGATGGCCTCGCCGCGCTCCGCGCGTTCCAAGCGCGCCCAGATGGTGTCCCCGTCGGTGCCCGGCCACGTGCCGCGTCGACCGCGGGTCCTCCTTGGGCAGTCGGGAAACACGCAGTGGCTCCTCATGCGCAGTTTGCAACTCCGCCAATCACACCGGACCCGATCGAGGCCTGGCCCCTCATGGCCGCCCTCGGCCGCCAGCTCAGCGCGGCCGCCTGCGCGGCGGCGCCCGGCCAGCATGACCCTTCCTGGCGAGCCGATCCTGGCGGGCGCTCCGCTCGCAGAAGGCGGCGTTCGGTCGGGCACATGCGGGCCCCTTCGCTGGCGCGCGCATCTGCGCGGCTGTTGCCGCGGCGCTGACGCTCCGCGATGCGCTCGGCATGGGCGCCCGCCAGCGTCGCGTGAGCCTTCGCACTGTGGAACGACATGTCGTCGCGGTCCGCGTCGTCGATGACCGCCCAGAGGCGCGCCCGGAGCCCCCTGTGCGGCCGCTGCCACTGTGGGCACCAAGCCTTGCCCGCAGCGATCCCGCACGCGAGCAACTGGCAGTCCGTGGGGATCCCGATGGGCGGTCGGCAGTTCAGGGTGCCCTCGATGGCCGCGCAGAGCTCTGCCGCGCTCGATTCCTGAAGATAGGGCAAAGGCAGCGGCCCGCATGGGCTGGCGGCCTCTCCGTCCTGGCCCATGACCACCGCTGCCCAGCCGCCTCGCGCTGACGCCAGGCCCGCATCCTCTGCGCAGCCGTCGGCGAAGAGGTCGCCAATGAGTGGTTGCCCAACAAGGTCGGATCGCCCCCCTTCCGGGTGGCCCTGTCCTCGGTGGGCGGAGCCAGCGCCCTCCTGCGCTCGGGCGCGGGCGCGAGCGACCGCGGCGGATCCTCCGTGTAGTTGAGGCTGGCCATATCGACGATCGTCCTGCAGCGAATGTCGTCGGGCGGGCGCCGCTCGTCGCCGTCGTCATTGGCTCCCCATTCCAAGTGCCTCGCCGTGCCGCGGGCGTTGCAGCCTCCATGGCGCCCAATAGAAGATGCCAGGAGGTCGGTCATATTCGAAGCGACTGGCCACGGGCCAAGAGCATCCAACCAGAACATTATTGGCCAGACTGGGCTGCTTGGCCGTCTGCTTTCTCATGCGCCTGCGATGGGCAGTGCGCCTGACGCTGGACAGCGCGCCTTCCTCAGACAAGTGCCCGGGGCCTGGATGCTAGCCCGCCTCTCGCCACGGGGCTCGCTCGTGGCCTGCAGCGACGTGCTTGGCCAAGGTGCCCAAGGTCCGCAGGTCCAGCAGCTCGCGCTGCTGGTCGCCGACGAGCAAGCAGACCTGGTGTCCAGCCCAGGCGGTGGCGGGTCAGGGCGCGCGCCGAGGCTGGGCCCCTGCCCGCGAGCGCCTCGGGCCCCATCTCCGCCGGCATCGCGATGGCCCCAGCGAGCGCGCCGCCCGTGGCCCTTAGGTCCTTGCCGTCGGAGTTGAACTGCGCCGCCTTGGCCCGCGCGACGTGGCCTGGGGATGGGTCGCTCGAAAGCTTCCTGCCGAGCCGAAAGCTGAGGCCAGGGCTTTTGCTGGGGCATCGCCCGAAGCGAACGGCATCCACTCGCCTCCTTCACTTGGCCAGCTGCGGCGTCGGTCAGCCGACCGCGCTGAGCCCGCGCCGCGCGGCTGGGCGCAGGCCCGCGCTAGCCGCTCGCACCGCCGCAATGGTCTCCCGGGGGCGAATGGCATGTGGCCGCGAGGCCGCCTTCGCGTAGCACGTCTCGAAGACGCCGAAAGCCTGGCCGTCGAGACAGTCGTCCACGCCCAGGTTCCTCACGGAGTTGGCACTTGAGAAGGCCATGCCGCCCGTCAGCTTGGCGACCGACGACGATGGCTCAGGCGAGCCG